ATGAAAAGTAAATATCTGAATATAAGTTTAGCTGCCTCTATCTCTGGAACTCCTCATGACACGCCCTGGCCTCCGATTATGTATTCATTCATCATATGCTCGGTCTGAATATTCCAGGTTTGTCCGGACATTCTGGAACTTGTAGTACCCGGAGAGCTACCACCCTGCTGCGTGCCATGCAATGCCTCAACACACCACCAAACAATCCACATTCACAGGCTGAATATCTTTAATGGAATGTAAAAAACCGGGAATGGTAACATATTGTAACGTGTAACGGATTGCAGCAGGTCGAAGGTCAAGCGTTGGCTACACATGGGGGGTTATCAGGTCTCGCTATTAATTGTGAATGATTCTTGATTTGGCTTTATTGTGTATAAATACAATGAGTTGTTATACGGCGGATCGGACGTTGTGCTGATACGTTGTAGCGATATCCCGATAGAAAGAAGTAACAGCCATAAAGTTACATTGCGTCAATGTTTGGTTTCATAACTAGGGCAGAAGTCATGAAACACCCCCCCTTACCCCACCCCCACACCCCATAGTTCCAGAAAAGTGTCCATGCATAAAAAGAATGAGCTGCCGTACTAGGAATTAAAATCTAAAAATGGAATTGAAAAGAATACATTGAGTGACAGCGAGCTGCCTAAAAAAAATTTAGATCTAAAATCTTATTCAGCCTTCACCCACACAAAGTGTCTGGTTCTAAACACTTTTATTGGTGTATTTATATACAATTTGCAGAGTGATTCGCTACGCAAAATTGCATGTGCATCCGTTCTGTGTGACTTGAGGTAGAAACGAATCTTTGTGACATATTTCCTTTCCTGGTTGAACGTAATATCAGGTTAATACCTTAGTCTGGCCACTAGAGGGGGCTGGAGAGCACAGGAAATAAATACATATTTTATCTGATCCTCAGCTCCATCTAGTGGCCAGAATGAGGTATTTACCTGATATTACATTTGACCAGGAAAGGAAAATAGCTTATAACATTCGTTTTTACCCCCATGCGCACAGAACAACTGTACCTGCAATTCTGCAGGGAGACTGTCTCTGCAAATGGTTTATAAATACTCCCCGATAGTATCTAAAAAGGGCTTCTCTGTAAAATTCTTTTGAAAATTAAAAAAAGAAACCAGCACACCGGTAACTTGCAGCAAACAAAGGCTTGTTTTATGGACTTATGGCATTTTGGGGCCACAAAGGGACCCCTTTACCAAGGTGACCTCAATGTGTGACCCTGAAATGCCTTTAGTGTTATTCCTCAGTAATAAAAGCCTTTCCTGGTGTGCTGGCTTTTTGCGTTTTCTGGATTTAAGGAGGCGCCTCCACTGCTGTACCCCCCCTCCCC